GTTGTACCTGTGGACAATAATGGCACTTTTTGGTCACAAATAAGCTTTAAACATTAGAAGAAAAAAAATTAGAGGTATTCAACTGGTCTGGATTTTAAATAAAGGTATTTTTTGCTTGCAGTCTTGCACTTGGACTTCAGGGTTAAAGGAGTACTTCAGTCAGCCAGATGGTAAACTTGATAGGAAGGAAGTCAGCTGCTCAAACCATCCAAGTAATATTAGCAAAATCCAGCTACAAATGAATCACCAATTTCTTCAACTCTTATCACCTTCCATTCTTGTTTTCAGCCAACTCAAAATGCAAGTTTTGGCAGACAAACAATTTCATCTCATTTGGTGCTACATTTTCTCAGTGGGAGCTGGAGAAGTGGCTGGTAATTCAAACTCATCCACTAACCACAGCATCTACCTCTGCCCAAGTACAGCTTTCTGCAGTTGTAAATGAAGGACAACCTCCAAGCATCACAATCAGCTAATTGTCCCCTTCTGAGTAATTACACTGATTTTACTACAATGGCACTGGAATTTTGCAGATGGAACACTCCATGTTACCTGAATAAGTTATTCTGTCCCAGAAGTTGTTCTTGTTGCCTTTTGGATCTTACTGTCTCATCGCTTCCCTGTTCTCTCTGCATGTGGAACCCTTGAAATGCAGAGTTGTCATTGCTCTGATGCTGCCTTGGGATTATAATTTTGAAGCTGTGCAAAGATCAGTCAAATCAGCGTCATTGTGGAATATTCACACGTGGAACTACAAATGATGTGAGACATTTGGGAATCAAGAGCATGACAAAAAAACTCAAGGAGTAGAATAGCATATGTGTCAGGACAAGAATTTTATCAAACCTGAAAATAAATGGATACTTCCCATTTTTTGATTAGTGTAGGGTTTAGCTACATATTTTAAGTAGGAATAATATTTTCAAGTGCAGAAAGTTTTCACTTTTTCTTTTTTTTCAGAAGGTACTTTTTATATTTCAGTGGTGTCATGCATAATTTTACTTGGAGACCTCTATAGAAGAGTTTTCTTTCACAATGATTGCTATCAGTATTCAAAATTGAAGCTGTTTTTTTTTTTTTTAGTATTAAATTCGTAATCGATGGAATGGGTTTTTTATGTGGATTAAGTCACAAAGTAACTTCACCTGACTTCACTATCAAAGTCTCTGCTGAAGATTTGTCAGCTGTGTTTTAGCTTTATGCTCATAATGAGGTCGGGGGGGGGTGTAAAAAAACCACCACTAAAGCCTCAAAACCCTCACTTTTATTTATGAATTCTATGAAATTCTCGAATTAACATTTATGATGAAAAATATTTTGATTTCTTAAGATTTTATTACGATGCTGTAAGATGCTGTGAAAAGGTGATTTCTGAAGACTTTGTTATTCTTTCCATGTTTTAGAGTGTGAGTGGCTGTTAATAGACTTTATAATTGATCTTTCTAAAGAATATGTGTATCTGTATGAAAGTGTGTTGTCCACATATGTTTTCAGACCTCAATGACTAGTCATGCTCTAGGATGGAGAATTAATTCAATGAATGAGCACAAATAATGAGTATTAGACCACAGAGATTATTCTGATTTTTCTAAGGTTTTGGTTTGTACATTTTTATACTCTTTATTAATACTAAGAAATAAAAGCAGAGGTACTCAATCTGACAGAAGACAGCATAGTATGTATTCTACATCTCTCCCACTATAATATTTGAAAGGAAGAATTTAGTAGGTATCCATTATTATTTCAGGCAGACTTGAGAGCAACTGGCATTATTAATTTATAGAGATTTCATCTATATTTTGATTTGTCTCCACTGGCAGCTCCAAGGCTTTTGTCCTGGTGGGGTTTTTTCCTGAGGATTACTGGGCAGGTGCAAAGTACTTGGTGTTCCCATGTGGGCTGTCTCTTCCTCTCCATGTTGTGGTGTGTTATGATGCCAGACAAGGTGCTATCGTGCTCTCCATAATTAGAGCACAGGGGAGAAATAAACCTTAGAAAGACTTTACCAAAGATTATAAAGTTCTGGTGGGTGCAAACCCCAAGGTTAATGTTGCTTCTTTTTGGAACTGTGTATTTGCTGTTCAAGGTTAAATAGGAACACTGATATTATGGATCCACATCTCTATTAACTGACTTACACCATAAAGCAGTTTAATAAAACCATACTAGTATTTTTGAAGTACTTGTGGAAAATTCATCATACTAACTACCATTTTTCATTTGCATGTGTCAATCTCCAGCATATTATGGGACAACAGAGACACCTGCTTCAGGAGATTGCCTTTAATTAATTAATTAATTTTTTAAAGGAATGTTCTTGGTCGGTATTTGCACTGTTTTTCTTAATGTGTTTCTGTGTTCAGGAATGTCAGCCTATCAGTGTATTTTTAATCAGGTATTGGACCGTATTTGCAGAAAAAAAAAAAATAGAGTTGAACAGTATCTGCAGAATAGGTCCAGGGAACAGGTCTTCTTAAACTGTTCATGAAGATGTCACATTATGAGCAGTGTAGCAGAAGACATGTAATACATTTTTTATTAATAGGTAGCAATTTCAATGGGACAGCTTTGAAAAAGTAGAAATTATATTTAGTAGATGCATATTTTTATGACAATTTGAGTAAAATTTTCTTGCCAACAGTAGCTGTTTTATTTATTTTTATGACTTTGAACCTAGTAAATCCCTCTGTTTCTTACCATTTATTTGATTATGAGAATAAATTATATGGTTGTACAAAAATCTTCTATCATTCAGGGTATTTATTAGTTTGGGTTTTGTCCTAACTATATATCTAAGATATAATATGTCATCTATATTTGAATTGGAAAATGCAAAAACATAGGAAAGTTATTTTAGTTACAGTTAACATTTTTTCCAGCAATACTAAAAAATAAATAAACTAGAACAAGATTGAAAAAATACTATTTATTAGTAAAAACTATTTATTTTAAGGACCTTTGTGGTTTTTTTCATTATTATTTTCTTTTATAATATGAATTTGAACTCATATCTGTGTGAATAGTTAATTAAAGTGTTGGAATTAGTAATGAACTGATGAATCATTAATACAGTATTTACTACTGTATCTGTGATTCATAGTCTCAGGTTGTTTCACAGTTTTAAATGTATCTTCTTAGGGAAATATCTGTCATCAAAGTAAAATCAGAAATTAAATTGCTGAAGTGTATTTACATATTAGGTGGGAATAATGTAAATTGACTATGTTATTGCATGAAAAAAGAAGCAAATCATCCATAGGGAAATAATTCTGTTATTAGCTATGTCATAGAAAGTACTTGTTTTATCACTTAATATTTTATCTTAAAGAAATTTCTTTTTAATTATCTCAAGAATTCCCTCCAAAAGCCATGATATTCACTACTGTAACATGTTTAGAAATAGCATGGTAACTTTTCCTTTTTTAAACATATAATGGAAAAAGAATTTTCAGTATTAGAAATTACATAAATGACAGCTAAGTGGTCTTAGTTACTAATTTTTATCAATCCAGAGGATGTTTTTTTTGCTCTTGCATTAGAATTCCATATCTCTAATTTATGTATCTATGCTGAGAGGAGTTCACAGGAAACAGAATTCAATGTTCTCAGATTCTGACATAGGATCAGAATACTTTTTTTTCCATGTAAATAGTGATAAACAGAATGCTTTATCTGACTGCTTTCCATCAAATATTTTAAGATCTTAATTGTGTGTGTTTTTTCCTGTATTAAGTAAAAAAAGCAGTTGTACTGAATTAAATGCTCAGCCACTTAAATATCAGCGACCACATGGTGAGTATTTAGTGTAAAAAGCAGTAAAATCCAGAGTGTGTACTATAGAATTGAACATTAAATCCGTTTCAAGTTTAAATGTGATCCAGTGAAATAGTTACTAATTTTCCCTCCCTTTTCTACTTTCCTTAAGGGAAACAAACAAACAAACAAACCTACAACAAATTTCCCAAAGGTTTCCCAGAGAAGTTGTGGATAGCCCACCCCTGGAAGTGTTCAGTGCCAGGTTAGATGGAGCTCTGAGCAACCTGGTCTAGTGGAAAGTGTCCTTTTCCATGGTAGGGGGATGAGATGATCTTTAAGGTTCCCTCCAACCCAAACCATTCCATGATTCTATCAGTAAAGCGCAGGACCAAATTAAAATTATCTTCTTTTTCCTCAGGTATGCTACTTTATGAAAGTAGAAGTGTCAAGCAGAGGACTTTTTTTTTAAAAATTTTTAATTATTTTATTCGATTGTCCCCAATATTTGTATACACTTTAAATTCAAATAATTTTTTTTTTTTTTTTGGGGGGAGAGTTTTTATGGATAAGGATTTTTATGAAGTTGCTAAGTACAAAATTTATGCTCTAGAAAACTGGAAGCCAAAATTATTTTTCTCTCTTGGCCTTTTCCATGCAATGATATGGAACTGAAATCCAGAACTTCCAGTTGCATTTATGGTTTAAGGTTTTTATTAATTGTGAGTTTCCAACTAGAAAATGTGAACTGTGAAAATAAATCTATGATTGGATTTGTGGTTTGGTTGTCATCTAAAGGGGTTATTTCTATCCAGTTTCACAGCTGTATTTTTGAGGACCAGAGAGACAATGCTAAGTGTAATCTGAAATATAATGATCTTACATGAATGCATTTTCATAAACTGCAGCTTCATAACACAGTGAGTGAGATTATAAAGAAGTTTTGATTATGGAGTTCACTCTTGAAGTCATAAGTTGGTATATTTTGTGGTTTCTCTTGACAATGTTCCTTTAAGCATGTACTTATTCCCTTGATTATAGTGCCTAGAAACAGAACATATTTTTCTACATTTTTTTAATTTATTTGGAAAATTTAAAAGTTGCTTAGCTGTCAATAGTAACTTCACCATAGGTGAAGAGATGCTTTCAGTCATTCTTATCAATGGTGTTTAATATATAAATTTTACATTGATATGCATATATATAAATATATAAAACCTTCTTTTTTCCTGAATCAATGTAAACAGAGCCCAGATGGCCGTATAGAAGTCAAAGGGCAGCATGGAAAATCGTCACTGCATATTAAAGATGTGAAGTTGTCAGATTCAGGGAGATATGACTGTGAAGCTGCAAGTAGAATTGGTGGGCACCAAAAGAGCATGTACCTTGATATTGAATGTAAGTTCTAATATTTTGTTTTCTCTTTTAAATTTGTTTTAAAAGAAAGAAAAAAAAAGTACATTCTTAATGGAAGGTCATTTTTTCATGGTATTTTGTATTTGAATTTGCATAAATATAGAAAGCATGTGCTGTAGATTGTTATTCTGCAGAGGAATCCTGTCTTTTCTGAAGTTGATAAGAGCCTTGTTGGTGATTTAAGTGGACAGGATTTCATCTGAAATCATATTCCAGTGGTATTACCCACTAACTTAAGGTTAAGCTTAAGAGTTTCAAATCTTTGGGCTTGCTGAGACTGCTGGGGATGAAAAGTGTTCAGCAGGATAAGGTAAGAACTGATTTGAGCAGCAGTTCAGTCTTGAGGTTAACCTTCGAAGATTCAACAAAGTATCTTTTTTTTTCCTTTTTCCCACCTAGTTCTCTGAATTACTAATCCTTAAAAAGTACTTGTCCCTGTTATAACCCCTCCCAGAGTTATCAAGTTGGTGACAATCTCTTCTACAGATTGTCTTTATTCAAAGCCCTTGAATTTTATCCAGTAAAAAAAGGGGTTATTTTTCCTTAGTAGAGTCTGATGCTTTAGAAGCCAATCAGAGGATATAAATCTGAAATATACAAAAACCCACTGGAAAATTGTCTCTTCAAACTGTATTTTAAATTCATGTGCAAAGGTCTTCCAAAAAAGAAAAAGGAAAAAAAAAAAAAAAAAAAAAAAAAAAAAAAAAAAAAAAAAAAAAAAAAAAAAAAAAAAAAAAAAAAAAAAAAAAAAAAAAAAAAAAAAAAAAAAAAAAAAAAAAAAAAAAAAAAAAAAAAAAAAAAAAAAAAAAAAAAAAAAAAAAAAAAAAAAAAAAGCAAAAGCAAAACAACTTCTTTATTTCTTTATTTCATTGTTGTTCCATTTTTGTAGAGATTTTCTAGATGTATTTGTTTCCAATAAATTTCCAATATAGTCTGAGCAAGCCTACTTAAACTGAGTCTCTGAACAGAAAAAGTCTTTCCAGTGGGAGGACAGAAGCTGGAATAGGATGTGTGGCACAGAAATATAAGTAAGGATTGCAGACCACTGAGTGATTTACTGGGGAGTTCTGAAGGGGACTTCAGCTTGCATTTGTGTGTTCCATCTTTTTGACAGGGGAGCTCACTGTGGCATAGGAAATATATCTGAAAGGAAAAAAAAGAATGGTTAGGAATGGAGAGATTTGCCAACCCAGAAGACCTGAGAAATAAATGCAGTGTTAATTAATAGCTTTAACATAGCTAGTCTTCAATAGTCACAGAAAGGTATTTGAACTTTGCAAAATATTATTTTGGGAACATATTAATTAGCTCTATTTATGAGTGCTATTTGTTATTATTGAGTGCACTAGTAATTACTTATATGTATGTAAAGAAAAAAAAAAGAGATAAAAATGCAAATTCAGTGAAGTTTTTAGAACTTTTCTGTGAAATCCTGCCTACTCTTCACATACTGGTAAAAAATATATCCTTTGATTATGGCTATATAGCTGCTGTGCTTTAAAATTAAATATTAATACATTTTATATTCAGAAGAGAGACATCTAATGCACCCCATGTTATAAAACATGGACAACTGAAAGTTAAAAATTTATTAGCAACACAGAATCCATTCCGAAGGGCATGACAAAATCTCTTCATTGATACAATATATTGTTATAATCTAAAACACCTTTAAGAGTAAAAGTTTTAGAAGAGATGGTAAGAATTTAAAAGTAACATAGTCTCATACTAGTATGGCAGAATTAATTTTAAATGTGTGTGGGAACAATCAAATATAGTGTATGAGAAAATGGAATCATTTAAAGTCTGAATTTATGCCTTGGTAGACAATTTTTGATACAGCACAAAATTTTCTACACTTCAAAGGAAACACAATTTATAAAGAACATAGAAATATTATTCTATTGTCAGAGATATCACACATTGTAATTATTATTTTTAAAGTATAACACAAGATTTGTATTATGACATGTCTAAAATTGGAGGTTTAAGATTTAAATACTTAACTGCTAATGAGGTTTAAACCAATTGTTTTCCAGAACAGGTGTTTGAATAACAGAAATACAAATTTCCTCTAATCCTTTATGTCAGGAGTTTTATAATGCAACGAAAATATTTCTAGGGTGATATAATTGAGGTCTGTCTCCATTCATTTTCCGATTAATGAGTTAGAGAAATGTTTTGCTTTCCTTTGCAAATAACTTTGCACTGCTGCATGAACTGCAAGTATAACTTATTTATCTTGCCCAGGAAAGAAAACATTTGTCTTAATGTTGAAGAATTCTGTTCTTTAAAATAGTGTCCTCAAGAGGAAATGTCTTCTTTCCAGCCCCATCCCCCATCAGTCAAGTCTCTGCCATAAATTTCTGTAAAGAAACAGCCTCTTCAAAGAATCTTTCCGCATCTCATTACCACCATTTCCATCCAGTGCTGTGTCCTTTGACAAGTACCAACAGTCCTTTTCTCCACTAAAAATACCTTCTTTTATGCAGGAGGTGGCATAGTTATCCCTCATTCCAGTTATTGCACATCATAAGGTGCAGGCCAGGGAGTTTCAGCAAAAGTTACGGGTTCGACAACTCATTTGTGGTTTTGTAGCAAACTGGTAAAAACAGGGGGAATCGCTGCAAGATTTGATGAAGCCAATTTCAAATAGATGATCTGATTCTCCCTGTAGTATTTTCCAAGTGGTATTTTTTCAGCATGTTAACTGCAGTTACAAAGATTGCTATCAGGGCTTCTAGATTTCTTTTTTCTCAAATATTCATTTACAAAATTACATAAAAAGTTTCAAAATATTTTAATTTTCTCTTCTATTATTTTTGTTGTGTTCTCTCCAAAACCAGTTTTGAGAGGCATTTTTTCAGATATGGCTGACTCTTGCAGTGAAGCCATTTCAACGGATTTTTTTATTATTTTTAGTAATATTCTCATTTAAAGCTCAATATCTATTTTAAAGTTAAAATATAAATCAATAAGCAGGACTTAGTTGTTTCTATTGTTGTTATAGTTTCTAGATGAAACCAACCAATGCACCTATGCCTTTCTGTAAGTTAGCAACAAAGCCAATGCAGTTTCCTTTGCATGTTTTTATATATTTGACAGTCTGTGTAGTCAGGAGAGGAACGTGGTTCCATCAAATCCTTAAATATCAGTGCAGTTAAACAGGTCTAGTGGAGGCACAGAGTGCTCTGGTGTCACTGTCTCATCTTTTTACTTACTGACCCCTATCAGGGACCTAAACTGACAGTAGGATTGAACAGTTTCCATATTTTATCCTTATTCTCTGTTGGGGATGTTCTTGATGATAAGAGCAGTTCTGCGGAACAGGAAGAGATTATCAGGTTTGATACCAACTGGGCCCAGTTAGCCCTGCCTTTTATCTCAAGTAAATGCTAAGGAGACATGAATTGTAGGGAACCCAGGGGCGTTTAGAAGGATTTCTTCCTGCAAAGCCATCTTTGCATTTAGTTTTTCCCATGTAAAGTAATTATGTATATATATACATATATATGTATTCCTTATAGTAAGTATGAAAAATAAATCAAAATTACATCAAAAATAAAAGTATCATTTGTAAACGCTCTTTGCTAATGGATTTCATTAACTGCAAAATTTGATTGTGAACATGAAGCCCAGTGTGTATTGGATGATAATAGTAATAATAGAAGTAACACATCCTTTGAGATGGCATTTATGATTTATATTAAGATGTGTCTATAGAGATTATCTCTGTATTTATCATAGAGAAATAAGTATTTATTTTTTAATAAAAAAATTATAGACATAAAAATAGATAAAGTGGGAGACACTACGATTAAGTTTTCAGGAGGGTCTGAGAAAGTTACAGGCATAAATTTCAGTGAATTATATATTGATTTTACATATAATAATATCAAGTGTCTCTTAAAGTTTCAGTTTTGCTAAATAGGTGTTTGACTTTCTATATGGTATGTTTTGTCTTTTTAAGTGACTGACATTATTATGACAAATACATGCTAGGGGTAGAAAGAAATCTTAAAAACCATAATACAGACTTGGCTAAATGAAGAAACATTCTGATGGGAGAACTTGTTATTTCTTGGGTTTCACAAACTTGTCACTTCATAATTCACATATGCCGGATCATCTTTCATCATAGTATTATTCTGAGTTAGGTTGCACTGATTTACAAAGTTGGCAAAGCTTTAAACAAACCAGTAGTGAACATTTATGAGCCTTGAAAGTGACTCTCTATGTGCCCTTAGTTTTTCCTTCATTGTGTTCACACTCTTCATTAACCAATCAGAAGCTTTCATAGAGTTGATTTTTTTCGTCCCAGGTGCACATGTTGTGTAAGATGCTGGTGCCTCTGATTGCTCTGTATCAGCAGGTGCAAATTCCTTTGGACCTTAGTCCTCTTCTTGGAGAAAATGTATTAAGACATGTTCTCTGGAAAAATCTTTGTTTTCCCACATACTGCCTGTGAAGCATCCTGAGTGGTCAGGGACCTTTTTAGCTGCAACTACCAGTTTTCACATCACTCTGTTTCAGTTAAAACTCCCCAATTTCAGTACTAATATTGCAGCTATTAGATATGTTGGATGGTCCAAAAATGCCTCACAGTACACAAAGACTGGTTTTTTTTGGACAGAATCCTCTGTGACAAACATATTACAGAGAGTAACATGGTAGACTTTTGTATGAGACCAACCATGTGAGTAGTTGATAAAAGGCATTTAAATAATTTAAAGCGTCTTCCAAAAAGGAGTAGTTTTTCTTACTACAGTTTTTCATCCAAATCTGAGTTTTGTAGTTATATTCCTTATTAGTTAAGTACCAATTTTCAGTGGTAAAAAAACGTGTAGCATGTGCAACATGGTCCTTACTTGTAAAGAAATCCGTGCAGTATTTGTTATACTACTTTATTGCTTATCAGAAACAGTCTTTTTTACTTTTTGTTTGTTTTTCCTTGCCACAATTTGAAATCAATCTCATTACTG